TGTAGTTCCAGCTACTTGGAAGGCTGAGGCGGAAGGATCGCCGGAGCCCGGCAGGTCGAGACTGCAGTTGCCGGGAGCATGCCTTTGCACTCCTGTTTGGGTGACAGACTGAGACACCAACTCAAAAATAAAAAATAAAATAAAAATAAATACATAAACTCTAACTATCTGGCTGGTCACGGTGCTCATGCCTGTAATCCCAGCTTTGAGGGAATTCAAAGTGAGAGAATTGCTTGAGCCCAGGAGTTTAAGACCAGCTTAGGCAATGTAGCAAGGCCTCATGTCTATAAAAAAATTTTTTTTTTTTAAATTGGCAGCAGGGCACAGTGGCTCACACCTGTAATCCCAGCACTTTGGGAGGCAGAGGTAAGAGAATTGCCTGAGTCCAGGGATTTGAGACCTGTCTGGACAACTTGGCAAGACCTTGTCTCTACAATAAATTTTTTTTTAAATTAGCCAGGCATGGTGGCTTATGCCTGTAGTTCCAGCTACTTGGAAAGCTGAGGTGGAAGGATTGCCTGAGCCCAGTGGGTCGAGGCTGCAGTGACTGTGAGGGTGCCACTGCACTGACAAAGTGAGTCTCCTAGTAAATAAATAAATGAATAAATAAATAAAATTGTCTGGGCATGGTGGTGCATGCCTGTAGTCCCAGCTGCTCAGGAGGCTGAGATGGAAGGATCACCTTAGCCTAGGAGGTAAAGGCTGTGGTGAGCCATGAGCCATGCCACAACACTCCAGCCAGAGTCAGATTCTAACTAAAAAAAACCAAAAAAAATCTTCTAACCATCCTAGTAGGTGTAAAGGGCACCTCATTGTGGTTTTGATATGCATTTCTCTAATGACTAATGATGTTGAGGATCATTTAATGTGCTTATTGGTCTTTTTTAAAAAAAATTCTTTTTTTCACCTGAGCCCAGCAGGTGGAGGCTGCAGTGGCTGTGAGTGTGCCACTGCACTCCAGCCTGGGTGACAGAATGAGACTCTGACACACACACACACACACACACACACACACACACACACACACACACACACAAACAGAGTGAAAAAAATTTTTTTTGAGTTGGAGTCTCACTGTCATCCAGTCTGGAGTGCCACGGCAGTCACAGCTCACTGCAGTCTCAACTTTCTGAGCTCAGGTGATCCTCCTGCCTCAGTTTCCCAAGTAGCTGGGACGATGGATGTACACCACCATGTCCCGCAAATTTTTAAATTTTTCTATAGAGATGAGATCTCTCTGTGTTGCCTAGGTTGGTCTCAGACTCCTGGGCTCAAGTGATCCTCTCTCCTTGGCCTCCCAAAGTGTTGGGATTACAGGCGTGAGCCACCACACTTGGCCTGCTCTTTTTCTTGAACATGGACATCTTTCAATGTCAGGAGAAAGCCGCCTCATTTTTGTCCTATCTGATTTGTTTTCCCTCCCTCATTCTTTCCATGGTTGCATATCATTCAGTTACGGTTTTACTTGTGTATTTGCCCAGTCCTTTATTGAGCTTTGAGGAGTCTTTAGTCGTTGTGTTAGTGAGAGGCTATGATACAGCAGCTCTTGAGCGGGAGAAGCAGTCATCTAATCACTGTGGTATCTGTTCTTGAATGATATGAAAATGCAAGCAGGCACAGGAAATGTCTCTAACCTGCTTACACTTCCTCTTTGAACCCCTGTGGTTTCACAACCCCTGCAGGCACGCCCCCTCCTCCCTAGAGTCACCCGCCTGGCGCCTCTGTGAGAAAGTTCTACTGTAAGAGGCCCCGGGCATTATCATTTCCTTCTTTCATCCTGTCTAGGTTGCCAGCAAATCCCCAGGTCCCTCTGAGACAGAGCCGAGCCCACAGGTCCCTCCAGCGCTGGGAAGATGAAGGGTTCCTGCATCATCGTATTGCGGCTGCTGTTGGCTGGGCCTGTTCTCGTCGGTAGGCAAGGGAAGGGACATGTGTCTGGGACAGGGAAATGGCAGCGCACTGTGGAACTGGGGTAAAGATGGAGCTGCTTGGTGGCATTGGCCATAGGTGATGGGCCGAGGAGTCCTAGAGGAGAAGGGAAAAAGAAAAAGACAGGAAGTCAGAGCCCCAAGATTCGGCAAGGTGTGGAGGCAGACAGAGAAGGTAGCACAGAGAGGAGGGAGCGGACTCTTTTAAAAAGCAGATGCCTAGCCGGCTCGGTTGCTCAACCTGTAATCCCAGCACTTTGGGAGGCTGAGGTGAGTGGATTGCCTGAGACCACGGGTTCGAGACCTGCCTGGGCAACTTGATGAGACCGCATCTCTACAATAAATCAAAAAATTAGCCGGGCGTGGTAGTGCGCGCCTGTAGTTCCAGCTACTTGAAAGGCTGAGGTGGAAGGATCGCCGGAGCCCAGCAGATCTAGGCTGCGGTGGCCGGGGGTGGCCATTGCACTCCAGTCTGAGTGACAGAGTGAGACTCCAACTCAAAAATAAATAAATAAATAAAAGCAGATGCCTAATGGGTACCTAGAGCTGGGAGAAGAATGCTGGTTCTAGTGCCACTTACTGGACCACCTCTCTGTGCAGTCTTAGGCAAGTCCTTTCCCCTTTCCGACCTCAGTCCCTCCATCTGATCATCCCTGACATCCTAGGATGCTGCCAACTAAGCCTGATGCCTGGAAGGAAAGCAGGGTGGGAAAGGACAGTCTGGAGTGTGCCAAGAATGCCTAGACAGGCTGCCTGAGGTGGGGAGAGGGTGGGTCTCGAAGAGCTAATGATCAGGGAGAGAATGGCCCCTGGTGGGGTGGGGAGAGAGGAGGCAGCCCTCCAGGGATGGGGGAGATTTTGTTTGTTTCAGAGACAAGGTCTGCTATGCTGCCTAGGCTGGTCTCGAACTCCTGGGCTCAAGCAATCCTCCAGCCTCGGCCTCCCAAAGTGCTGGGATTATAGGCGCAAGCCGCTGCGACCAGCCCAAGGGATCTTGAATCCCTGAGTCTGTGGAAAGAAATCTGACGCCAATCATTTGAGTTCTGTCTCCTGGGTTTCATGACCACAGGAGAAATGGGTGTGTGGACAGGCACACCCTGTCCAGGGGCATCCTCCTGTTGGCCTCTGCCTGGGAACCTGGCCACCCTATGTCCCGGGGCCCCTGTGGTCTGCTCCTCTCTCACGGGCCTCCGCCTTCTCATCCTTCCGTCTTTGTGGAGAGGCCTAACGAGTTGTGTCCTTCTCAGGCCCTGGGAAGAACTTTCAGAGCTCTGGGTGGCAGGGAGCCGCTGCTTCCAAATTCCCCGGAGTCAAGGCCCTGGAGGGGAAGTCCAGGGGGCGCGTCCAGCTCAGCTCGGGTGTGGGCTCGGATGTGGGCTGCTGGGGAGGGGTGAGCCTGGTCCTAGGGTCAGCCGCCTGCCTGGCACGTGCTGGGGTCCCTGACTGCCCTTGCCACTGGCAGCGCCAACCTGGAGCTACAACCTGGACATTCGACATGTGCAGAACTTCTCCCTCCCGCTTGCCGGGAGGCACTTCGGGTACCGCGTCCTGCAGGTTGAAAACAGGTGAGCTGCTGCGCCCCAAGTCCTGATGCCCGCCCCAGGGTGGTCCTCGGCAGGTGGCTGTCAGTGAGGGATGGGCAAGTCGCCAGGGCATTCCCGTCTTGGGGGGGCGGGCGGTCGGGGAGGATTCTCTGGAGACTGGAGCAAGGCGATCACTTAGTAGGCTGAGGGCACGGAGGAGGCCCCACTTAAGTGCCTAATAGAGGAAACATCACAGCCCCTAAACCACTTCCCTCACTCCCTGGGATTCTGACTCCCTCAGTACACAAATCAGTTCCTTGAAGACAGGGGTTTTGTTTCTCTTCTCCCAAGATCCCTCATTCCTAGTATATAATCCCCACTCCCACCCCCAGGACATAGTAGGTAAACCCTAAATGACTTTGAACTGAGGACTGACCGAATGGACTTATTATGTGACACTCTGCTGGATCGCTTTCTGGGCCTCAGTTTTTCTAGTCTATAAATGAAAAGGATCCTTCACTTTCTAGAATTCTGGCATGTGGAATTATTTCTCTAAGATTCAGTAGGGAAGAGGTGGGCACTGAGGAGCCTTCCTGAAAGGGAGTGGCTGCATCGCTTTGAGATACTTGGCAGGGGATCTGAACCCACTTAATAGGCAGGAGTGGGTGGGTAAAGACCTGGGAAGCCCCGTCTCACTGGTGAGATTTCTCATCAGGGTTGTTGTGGGAGCTCCAGGTGAGGGCAACAGCACAGGAAACCTCTACCAGTGCCAGCCAGACACTGGACACTGCGTACCCATCAGCCTGAGTGGTGAGTAACTGGTGAGAAAGCTGGGAGGAATGGGTCTCAGGGAAATTGAGGCTGGCCCCAACACCCTTGAATTGCCTGAGTTCCTCCAGACCAACCTTCTGGTGCCTGCAGGTTCCAACTATACCTCCAAGTTCTTGGGAATGACCTTGGCAACAGACCCCACAGGTCGAAGCATTTTGGTAAGAATTTTGCATAGAGGTGATATCAGAGTCTGTGGAACTCAATGCCAGGAACAAGAGATTGAAAAGAGGAGAAAGAATGAAGATAAAACATTCCACAGAAGGTCAAAGGCATCAGAGGCTTTCAGATTCTGCTTATTGAGAACCAACTATGAGCCAGCTACTTTCAAGATCTGACCTCAGTTTTTTTCCAAATGTGAAATATCTATGACTATTGATATACAATATGATTTTTGGTGGTATACAAACTTTCAATGTTTTAAAATTTATTTAATGGCTTATTAGAAAAAGATATGACGTCAAATTCATGATTTCTGAATTGTATTGCTTAGGAAGAGGCTAAAGTTAAAAAAAAAATTGGCTTGACTTGGTGGCTCAGCCTGTAATCCCAGCACTATGGGAGGCTGAGGTGAGTGGATTGCCTGAGCCTGTGGGTTTGAGGTCAACCCAGCCAACTTGGTGACACCTCATCTCTACAATAAAAAAAAAAAAAAAAATTAGCCGGGCATGGTAGTGCATGCCTCTAGCCTGGGTGACAGAGTGAGACTCTGACTCAAAAAAAAAAAATTTTTTTTTAAGCTGGGCACGGTGGCTCATGCCTATAATTCCAGCACTCTGGGAGGCCAAGACAAAAGGATTGCTTGAGCCCAGGAGTTCAAGACCAGCCTAAGCAACATAGTGAGACCACGTCTCTACAAAATATTAAAAAATTAGCTATGTGTGGTGGCATACACCTACAGTCCCAGCTATTTGGGAGGCTGAGGCAGAAAGATCACCTGAGCTCAGGAGATAAAGGTGGTGGTGAGCCACTGTACTCCAACCTGGGCAACAGAGTAAGACCTCCAACTCTAAATAAATGAATAAATAAATAAATTTAAAGGGAAATATTAAGTAAATGATAGTATTTTCATTTGATTCCAAGTCTATTTATTGCTCTTTTCAGTTTGTCCCAGCCAGCATCTTTCGTATGTGAAATAGAAGTCTGCATGAAACACTGATCCAGTATTTAATTGGAGCTTATTTATTTAGTTGCTATTACATGCCAGTCACTGTGTTAGGTTCTGATGAGGGAGAGGGAGTGAGATACAAAGACGCACATGCTACAAGCCCTGTCTTCCTAGAAACTGCAGTGTGGCAGAAACGACAGTCATAACGGAAAGAAACAGCATTGTATAATTTGGGAATTGTATTCGATTTCGCTTAAACACAGAGTGTGGGATGGGGAATGGGAGTGGATGGGTCTGGAAATGTAGGATAGTGCCCTACTATAAACGATATGAATGTCAAACTAAGGAATTTCGACTATCCTATAGACAGCAAGTGTTCATTGGTATAGAGGTTTGATAGGAACGGAGAGATGGGACCCTGTGGAGGTCGAATTACCTTGCCTGGGTAACCAGCGGGATGGAGGGAGTGAGGGAGCAGGACAAGGACTCTGAGGGTTCTTATTCTTGGCACGTAGCGAGGGGAAGCCCAACCCTTTTGCCTTCGCTTCCTTCAGGCCTGTGACCCTGGGCTGTCTCGGACGTGTGACCAGAACATCTATCTGAGTGGCCTATGTTACCTCTTCCATAATAATGTGGAAGGTCGTGTGCTGCAAGGGCACCCTGGCTATCAGGGTAAGGAACTGGGAGTCCAAGTCCACTGGGAGAAAATTCCTCCAAGTGGCTTCTCCTACGTGGAAACCAGCGTGGGCGGGTCAAACACTGCAGACACTTCACCAAGTCCTTTTGCATCTGGCCTCTGCAGAATGTATAAAGGGCAAGGTAGACCTGGTGTTTCTGTTTGACGGCTCACTGAGCTTGCAGCAAGATGAATTTCAGAAAATTCTGGACTTCATGAAGGATGTGATGAAGAAACTCAGCAACACTTCCTACCAGGTAAATATGTTAGTTAAGATTCTGGGCTACTGGCAATGGATGCCTACCTGACTGACTTAAACCATTAAAGAAAAGTTTAGTATGCATTATCTCCAGAATCTATGGGCATGGCTATAACTGGATCTCTGGAAGGGAGAAAAACCAGGGAGTAGAAAGTGTCTAGGATTCGCTCTGGGTTTCATTTCTGTTTCTTTTGAGCCTCTGCTTCCTTCTTTCTTCTTGCTCTCGATGTAGAGTGTCTCCCTTTGCATCTGTGGATTGCATGGTCCTGTGGAAAGTTCCTACCTTCATGTGCTAAAGTTCCAGGGTGCTTTTGTACCTTCCTCTCAATCAATCCCTCCTTCCCTCAGCAAATTCCACACTCTCAGAGAAGAGATCCTGGCTGGGTTAGGTAGCCATCCCTGGCACAGTCAAAGGTATCTAGGGTCCCTGAGCAGAAATATGGCTACTAGGACCCAGAGAACAGGAGCTCAATAGACTGCACTACGTGAGGAAGCGGAAGTTTATTTAATTTTATTTCTGTATTTACTTGTATATTGCCTCATTTTCAAAAGACTGATTTAAGGCAGGGATTTGGAATTGGGTTGCCCAGGACCTACATAAGAAATAGAGATTGGGCCGGGTGGGGTGGCTCAAGTCTGTAATCCCAGCAGTTTGGGAGGCCGAGGTGAAGGGATTGCCCGAGCCCACGGGTTGAAGAACAGCTTGGGTAACTTGGCGAGATGTCATCTCTACAATGAATCAAAAAATTAGCCAGGTGTGGTAGCGCGCCTGTAGTTCCAGCTACTTGGAAGGCTGAGGTGGAAGGATTGCTGGAGCCCAGCCACTGGAGGCTGTGGTGGTTATGAGTATGCCACTGCACTCTAGCCTGGGCGACGGAGTGAGACTCCAACTTAAAAAAAAAAAAAAAAAAAAGTAGAGATTGGAACAGATAAGTGGGAAGGGATATATGTAACTACATATCATTTCTTCCTTCCTTTTCTAGTTTGCTGCTGTTCAGTTTTCCACCACCTACAAAACGGAATTTAATTTTTTAGATTATGTTAAACGGAAGGACCCTGATACTCTGCTAGACAATGTAAAACACATGCTCCTGTTGACCAACACCTTTGGTGCCATCAACTATGTTGCGTGAGTTCCCCTTTGCAAAAGAGAGTGTATCCACTCATCTGTTCTGTGGGAGCTAGTTACTTCCAGTTGCAGGACCTAGGAACTCAATAGGTAAGACAGCAAAGGGCAGTTTATTGTATGAATTAAAGTGGAGGGATTTTTAATCTAGGTTCTTTTGGTTATAAGGAACGGAAATCTACTCATTACTAAATCCAAGAGGGAAATTCTCAGCTGGGCATAGTTGCATGCGTCTGTGATCCTAGCTCTTTGGGAGGCCAAGGTGGGAGAATCACTTGAACCCAGAAGTTCAAGACCAACTTGGGCAACATAGTAAGACTCTGTCAAGAGAAATTCTTGAGAGGATCCAGGGATAGTGCATGAACCCTTGAGGCAGAAAGTACTGCCAGGCCTCAGGAGAGACTAGAACTAGGACTTGGAAAGTGATCATGAATCAGGGCAGTATCTGAACAAAAATCTCAAACAGTCAAAACTATCTTTGAAGAATTCCTTGAATTCTTCATAAAATATATATTCAGGCCCCACATTGGAAACTACCACATCCTGATTTCCTAAATCCAATACAGAATTTTTTCCCCACAGTTGGATCAGATTGCTATGTTTAAGCTGAGGCTTGCATGAAAGTTGTCAGATTGTGTTTAGGGGCCACATTGCGTTGTGTATTTTTAAAATATTTACCTTTTGCTGGGCGCAGTGGCTCAAGCCTGTAATCCCAGCACTTTGGGAGGCCAAGGCAAGAAGACTGTCTGAGCCCAGGGGTTCGAGACCAGCCTGGGCAACTTGGCGAGACCTTGTCACTACAATAAATAAAAAAATTAGCTGGGTGTGGTGGCACATGCCTGTGGTTCCAGCTACTTGGGAGGCTGAGGCGGAGGGACCACCTGAACCCAGCAGGTTTAGTCTGCGGTGGCAGTGTGCATGCCACTGCAGTCCAGCCTGGGCAACAGAGTGAGATTCCTACTCAAAAATAAAATAAAATAAAATAAAATAAAATAAGAAAATCTGCCTTTAAATATTAGAGCGGCCATGGGAACTGAGACCAATTTGGGGAATAAGAGAATTTCTGTCTCCCACCTCATGTTGCCCCCGGGCACATACTCAGATTGAAAGAGCAGGAAGGATCTTCTGCACTACTTCACATATTTTTCTCATTTTCTTTTCTCTGCCAAGCATATGTGGTTGAATTTGCATACAGTAAACATGCAATGGAGGGAGATCTTGTCTCTAAAAAATTAGAAAAAAAAAAAGCCATGTGCAGTGACTCAGGCCTGTAATCCCAGCACTTTGGGAGGCAGAGGTTAGAGGATTGTCTGAGCCCATGGGTTTGAGACCAACCCATGCAACATGGCAAGACCTTGTTTCTATAATAAATAAAAAATTAGCACCTGAGCCCAGCAGGTCAAGGCTGTTGTGGCCGTGAGCAGCATGCCACTGCACTCAAGCCTGGGTGACAGAGTGAGGCTCCAACTCAAATAAATAAATAAATAAATAAATAATTTTAAAAATAAAGAACCTAGAATGCCAGTGCAGTGGAGAGAAATAAGTGAGAGGGGAAAATAGTAGGAGATAAGGTCAGAGAGATCACAGGAATCAGAAACTTGGAGGCTGCAGGGAGGACTTGGGCTCTTCCTCTGAGTAAGACAAGAAGTCACTGGAGCTTTTGAGTAGAGGAGTGATCTAATTTATGTTTTTGAAAAGATCACTCTGGCTGCAGGATTGATGTTAGACTACAGAGAGGGCAAGGGTGAGACCTGTTAGGAGGCTGCTTTCAGATCCCTCCAGTTGAAATATGATGGTGGTTTAAATCCATAAACAGGACCCGTGCTAGACGCGTGTCCATGTTTCTCCATGTTTCTCCAGTTCTCCCTTCTTTCTTATCTTTTTTTTTTTTTTTTAGTTGGAATTTCATCCTGTCGCCCAGGTTGGAGAGTGGCACACTCACACTCATGGCCACCACAGCCTCGACCTGCTGGGCTCAGGCAATCCTTCTGCCCCAGCCTTCCAAGTAGCTGGAACCACAGGCACACGCCACCACACCCCGCTCATTTTTAAAATTTATTGTAGAGACGAGGTCTCACCTAGTTGCCCAGGTGGGTCTTGAACCCCTGGGCTCAGGCAATCCTCTTGTCTCCACCTCCCAAAGTGCTAGGATTACAGACGTGCACCACCACACCCGGCTGGTTCTACCTTTTTTCATCTCACATACACTGAGTGCCTACTCTGTGCCAGGAGCCAGAGATACAGCAGCGAATCAACCTTTCCTTGAGGAACTCATGGTTTAGGGGGGAAACTGACACAGAATCAAGTCGCTATAATTCACTGGGTTAAATGTTGCGGGTAGGGCGCTGCAGGCAGCCTGGGGACAGTCAGGAAGGACAAGGAGGTGCTGAATGAGCTTGCTCTGGAAAATGACTTCTCCATTCTATCCAGCTGTGGACCCCTTTTTTTCCCATTGAAATCTCATTGAGACCAACATCTTTAACTGGTTAAAGGGTGGTTGCCATGGAAGGTAGGAAGCCCAGAGCCAGGAACAAAACTTCCCTGCCTGTGGATTCTGAAACACCCTCTGGGCTGCCCAGAATAGAGTCTGAAAACCACTGGTTCAGGGAGAAAGGAATGGCAGAAAGGGCAACAGAAGTTTCAGAGGCGACCCCGAAGGTTTGGAGGATCTGCCTGGGAGATGCTAGAAGAGCTTTTGCGTAATCAGAGGGCAGTGACTTCATCAGCAGGTGAGGGTTTAGGAGGAGTCTTTCACATCCCTTTCTTGGACACAGGACTAAGGTGTTCCGGCAAGAACTGGGGGCCCGGCCAGACGCCACCAAAGTGCTTATCATCATCACCGATGGGGAGGCCACTGACAGTGGCAACATTGACGCGGCCAAAGACATCATCCGCTACATCATTGGGGTATAGGCCCTGCGCCCCCACTGCTTCTCACACATCATCTTCCCTCTCCTGTTTCTGAATCCCAGTTTCTTTTCTCCCTGGGGCCAGACTCTTGTGAAAATAATCGAAAACTGCTTTGAGACTTGGGGATGCCAGTTCCTCATTCTTCATTCCCTCACAGATTGGAAAGCATTTTGAAACCAAGGAAAGTCAGGAGACACTCCACAAATTTGCCTCAAAACCCGCAGAGGAGTTTGTAAAGATTCTGGACACATTTGAGAAGCTTAAAGATCTATTCACCGAGCTGCAGAAGAAAATCTATGTCATTGAGGGTGAGTGGCAGACCCTACGAAAGAGTCCAGGAGGCTACATACAGGTGAAACTCAAGACACACTAAATATAATAACAAGCACTTACTGAGTATCTGACACTCTGCTAAGAACTCACCTGGACAACAACCTCCAGTAGGAATTTAGGAGAGGATGATTCAGGAACAGCCTTTGATATTTCTCTTCAAAATTTCCTCTTCTCTTAGAGCTCAGGTTGATGGGGCGGAGGTCAGAACTCACCTGTATCTTGCTGTTGTGATCTGAGTCCTGCAGAATGAATATAATTCCTCTCTCATTTTCATCTATCTCAGGCTCCATGTTATTCAAGATGAGCAAACTGGCAGGGGTCAAGTGCGAAGAGCCCACAGGCCCTCTTTTTTGACCTAGGATAAGATATGGTTTTCATTGTAGTTACCAGATGGAGAACTGGTTATGGGAGAGTGTTTCCTCAGGAAGCTTAGTATGCTGAAAGATACATGATCCCTGCAGGGAAGTCCCCTTTGCTAGGACATAGCCTTGATCTTCAGTTCAGTTAGAGAAGCAATGTTCTAGCCTAGTCAACATAGCAGACCCAGTCTCTACAAAAAGTTTAAAAAATTAGCCAGGCAGGGTGGCACACACCTGTAGTCCTAGCTCCTCGGGAGGCTGAGATGGAGGGGTCCTTGGGCTCAGGAGTTTGAGGCTGCAGTGAGCCACGATCGTGCCACTGCACTCTAGCCTGGGCAACAAGGAGAGACGTTTGGAAAGAGAAAGAGAAAGGGAAAAAGAAGGAAGGAAAGAAGAAAGAAAGGAAGGGAAAAGAAGGAAGGGAGGGAAAGAGGGAGGAAGAAAGAAAGAGAGAGAAAGAAAGAAAGAAAGAAAGAAAGAAAGAAAGAAAGAAAGAAAGAAAGAAAGAAAGAAAGAAAGAAAGAAAGAGTATTTCAAAAGCAGGACCGTCATGATTTGGTGACATATTGGAAATAGGATGTGGGAAAGGGAAGACTCACAGTGAGTTCTGGGTTTTGTTGTTGTTGTTGTTATTGCTGTTGTTTTTGACTTGGGAGTCTCACTCCGTCACCCAGGCTGGAGTCCAGTGGCATACTCACGGCCACCCCAGTGTCAACCTGCTGGGCTCTGGCAATCCCTCCACCTCAGCCTTCCAAGTAACCTGAACTACGGGTGCGCACTACCACACCTGGCTAATTTTTTTTTTTTTAATTTATTGTGGAGACAAGGTCTCGCCAAGTTGCCCGGGCTGGTCTTGAACCCTCAGGCTCAGGCAATCCACTCGCCTCAACCTCCCACAGTGTTGGGATTACAGGCTGAGCCACCGAGTCTGGTCGGGTTCTGTTTTTTTAGCATGGTTCATTAGCTGGGTGAGGCTGCCATTCACTGAAGTGGGGATGCCTGAGTAGGAGCAGAAACCAAGAGCTGCATCTTGGAGTGCTGAGGTGGAGTAATTGGATCTCCACGTCTGGGGTTCCAGAGTGATGTACGAGAAAGCCGACTTGGAGCATTAAGCCAAGGCCAGTCTGTCTGACGCTCAAGTTCACGTTTTCTACCTTGCCCAAAGGGAAATGCTGTGCATCTTCCCAGTTCTTCCATGAGCGTCAACTGTTTTTGCTGCTCCTTGGGTCTCAGATGTTCTCCTCTACTTCGCCCTCCAGGCACAAGCAAACAGGACCTGACCTCCTTCGACATGGAGCTGTCCTCCAGTGGCATCAGCGCTGACCTCAGCAGGGTGCGTACTGGGCTTGAAGACGGGCTGTGGGTTGTCACGAAAAGGCAGCTGGCTCTACAGGGAGGGGAGTAGCTGATGTGATGTCATTCATCTCCTTCCCTGGGCAGGACCATGCCATCGTGGGGGCAGTTGGCGCCAAGGACTGGTCTGGGGGCTTTCTAGACCTGAAGGCAGACCTACAGGATGCTACATTTGTTGGGAACGAACCCCTGACACCAGAAGTGAAAGCGGGATATTTGGGTGAGTACTTCTCTTTTCCACTGGGTTCTTCTGGTTTTAGGGCCCAGAGGGTCGCTTAGTCTGGCTTTTAAAATTATAACGAAATCAATTAAGCAACCAACATGAACAAACTCAGAGTTCAAACGTGGTTATAACATTCTTGATTTTTGTCTTAATAGTCCCTCACCTGGATACAAATCACGTTTTTTATTTTCTGATGCGTTGACATCTAGGGCCTTGCTGAATCCTGGAGAGACTGCCACTCCCAAGCATAGCTATTTCCTCTCTAGGAAGGAAATAATGGAAAACTTTCCTGTGAACACACCTTTTACATGCAAACCAGTCAATTCAGAGCCCATATCCTCACTACCTCCTTTATCTAATTCTCACGCACCAAGCCACTATTTTCTCTGCTCTGAATCAGGCCAGGGCCAGCTACCAGCCAACCAGAGACTAGTGCTGTAGCCCCCAGACTGCTAAAATGATCCAAACTGTGCAGTCCTAAACTTGCCATAGCTTACCTACCCTGCCATCCTTCCCACAGAAACCACAATAAGAGCCCTGTGTCATACTGTTCCCTTGCTCCTTCTGGCTCGTCACTAACCTGGCGCTTCCCCACCTGGCCCACGTGGCATGCAGGGCCTCCTGCTTCTGGGGAACTGTGAGTAATAAACTTCTTTCAATGACAGTGACCTCTCTGTGTCATCAGTCCTACCTATAAATTAAATCCCAGGTATATTTTACAACAAAGTTAGAGAGAAGCACCAGTACAAAGGTCAAGAGTTGGGAGAGAACTCGGCACACTGAGGAGTAGGGAGATTCGTAGGAAGCAAAGTAGCTCGTTTTTGAGGCTTCCTTCTCTTGAATTCTCCAAGGGTTTTATTCAGTCTCCTGAGTTATACTAAGGCCAAGCAGAGAGGAAATGAAAGTCTGATCAATCCACAATTGCCGTTGCTTCTCTCTTCCTCATGGTATCACTGTGAAGTCTCTTTCTGCACAGTTCTGTGGAAGTTTGTCCACCCAAGGTGATGCCAGCCTCAGGCTGCAGTGGGACCTCACTCACCTTTGTGCTCTGAGGCCATAGCTCTTTTAGTTCACATGCATATAAACAGCCTGCCCCAAGGTTGGCCCCAAGAACCCTGGGGTAGGATCGCTTCCAGATTCTATTTTCTCATGGATCTGGAACCACCTTATATAGGAGTGGGTCACTCCTTTTTTATTTTTTATTTCTTTTTTGAATTGGAGTCTCACTCTGTCACCCAGACTGGAGTGCAGTGGCCGCTCCCGGCCACCGCAGCCTCGACCTTCTGGGCTCCGGCGATCCTTCCGCCTCAACCTTCCAAGTAGCTGGAACTACAGGCACACACTACCATGCCCGGCTAGTTTTTGATTTATTGTAGAGATGAGGTCTCGCCAAGTTGCCCAGGTGGGTCTTGAACCCGTGGTCTCAGGCAATCCACTCACCTCAGCCTCCCAAGGTGCGGGATTACAGGCTGAGCCACCGAGCCCGGCTCTTTTTTAAACTCTTAGAATACAAAGGTCTTACTAATTTTTTCCTCAGGAAGATGGATGCTATTCATTTTGCATCTACCCTTCTAAGGGAGGCTGCACCCAGTGATTTTTGTTCTTTCTTTCTTCTTTTTTGGAGTTGGAGTCTCACTCCGTCACCCAGACTGGAGTACAGTGGCCACTCCCGGTCACCACAGCCTCGACTTGCTGGGCTCCGGCAATCCTTCCACCTCAGCCTTCCAAGTAGCTGGAACTACAGGCGCGCACTACCATGCCCGGCTGATTTTTGGATTTATTGTAGAGATGAGGTCTCACTAAATTGCCCAGGCAGGTCTCGAACCCGCGGGCTCAGGCAATCCACTCACCTCAGCCTCCCAAAGCGGGGGATTTCAGACTGAGCCACCGAGCCCGGCTTGTTCTTTCTTTATCTGGTATTTTTTACTGAGCAAGTATCCTGTACCAGGCACTGTTCTAAACACTTTACATGTATTAATATATTTTATCTCATTTTGTGCTCACAAAACGGGACACCCCTGATGAGAAGGTATTTTTATTATCTTTATTTTACAAATGAAGGAACTGGGTCAAGGAGAGTTTTTTGTTTTATTTTTGTCTTGTGATGAGACAAATATTATTTCTTTAACTTTATTTTATTATAAAGATGTGGGGTACAAGTCAGGACTGGTACATAAGGAAGCTATGTGCAAGTGAAGGTTGGGCCTCCAACTGGTCCTCACTTCCCTTGGCTTAAGGCCAGGTGCCCTTTGTGTGGTCACGTGCCAACTCCCCTCCCCTAGCAATGTCCGGTGACTGCCAATCCTTCCCTTGTGCTATTGCAATTAATGTTCAGGTCCCACTTATGAGTGGTATTTGGTGCTTTGTTTCTGTGATAGATCATAAGTATGATTGTCTCCAGTTCCATCCAATTTGCTGCAAAGTCTATAATTTTGTCCTTCTCTATGGCTGCCAAGGAGAGTTTAAGTAACTTGCCAATAGTCACAGAACTAGTAGTCGAACCCGGGTAGTCTAGCCCAAGTCTGTTCTACAAACAGACTTTGCTCTATACTCTGTCACCTACACTACTGTCTTCAAGATCTTCTGTTCTTCACTATACTGTGAAATAACTGACAACTTTGCTCACTAAAGAAAACAAACTAACTCTAAAGTTTAACCTCTAGTTAGGCACCCACCCCACTGTACACACACTTAAGTATATACACATATGTGCATATATATGTACATATACGGGGAGGGCAAAAAAAGGAATTTATTTATTAAAAATTGTGGGGTTTTGTTTTATTTTGTTTTGCTTTTTGAGTTAGAGGCCACCGCAGCCTCCACCTGCTGGGCTCAGGTGATCCTTCAGCCTCAGTCTTCCAAGTAGCTGGAACCACAGGCGCGTGCCACCATGCCTGGCTAATTTTTTGATTTATTGTAGAGACAAGGTCTCAACAAGTTGCCCAGACTGGTCTCCAACCTGTGGGTTCAGGCAGTCCTCTCACTTCAGCCTCCCAAAGTGCTGAGATTATATAGGCGTGAGCCACCCTGCCCGGCCAAAATTGTGTATTTATTCTTTCATGTTTAATCTTCAGTCACCATCAAACCCCTGTCCCTCTGATGCAATACACCTATCAAGACGCTTTTTACACTGCTCAAAACAGTTTTTGAACTCGTCGATTTTGATGCCTTCTAGTGTTTCTGCTGTTTTTGCTTCACCTCTTCCATGTTGGCAGAACGTTTCCCTTTGAAGACTTTTTTCACTGGGGAAACCAAAACAAGTTCCTCAGTATGAGATCAGGTGAATAGGGAGAATGAGACATGAGGGTCATGTTGTTTGGGGTCAAAAACTGCTGAACACTCAGTGCAGTATAGGTAGGTACGTTGTCATGGTGGAAGAACCAGTCACCTGTTTGCCACGATTCGGGACGTTTCTTCCATAAATTGTGATGCAACCTTCTCAAAACTTCCAAATAAAAACTTTGATTGACCAGTTGATCTGGAGGAACAAATTCCAAGTGTACTACAAGGGACCTGCCCTCCAAAAAGATACTTCAGGGTCTTTTTTTTTTTTTTGGTACCCCCTTCATAGATGGAAAGATAAGTCAACCGATATAATCTTGAGTGTCTACTATGCTACTATCCTTCAAATCTTAGTTTAGCTATCACTAACATAGTGCTAGGCGTTTTATATCCATAGTCTTATTTAATCCTTAAAACCATCCTATGAGATTAGTACTGTTCCCATTTTTTAAATGAGCAGATTGAAGCTCAGAAGCATGAAGTAATTTACTCAACATCACACAGCTAGGAAATAGTAGCCCTGGGATTTAAAACTTGTCTCTCTGATTTCAAAGGACAAATTCTAAAACCTTGTGCTGGGATGACAGTCCTATCCCAGAGCTCTGGGCGCTAACTAATACTTTGAGGGAGTACATGTGACAGACTATACATGCCAGCAGGGAAGTGATTCGGTCTCTTCACTTTTCCTTTTGTGCTACAGAGCCTCAGACAGCTCTTTTTTTTTCACTTTCACCTAACTGCTCTATACAGAGACCACCAGATAGGGTCAATGACACATCTTTGGTGTCAAAGCATTCCTATTGGGTGGCTTCTGTCTCTAGCCCAATCCTGGATCCTGTTTCCTGCCACATTTCCTCAAACATTTCATCGATGTCCCCCAGTAACTGAGGGGAGACAGCCTCACCACAAGAGATGTGAAGTGTGAGGATAACCTGAAGTGGTACCTTTAAGCATGAAATTTTTTCAGGTCTCCTGCTTTATTTTTAATATTCATGCCAACTTTACATTCTTCTTACAAATGCATCCAATTTAATTCTTTTATTTAAAAAAAGAACATATGCCGGGCATATTAAAGGGGTGGCTCACCCCTTTAATCCCAGTCCTTTGGGAGGCTGAGATGAGAGAATTGCCTGAGCCCAGGGGTTCAAGACAAGCAACATGGCGAGATCTCATCTCTACACAATAAAAAAATTAGCTGGGCATGGTGGCGCATGCCTGTAGTTCCAGCTACTTGGAAGGATCGCCTGAACCCAGCAAGTCGAGGCAGCGGTGGCCGTGAGTGTGCCACTGCACTCCAGCCTGGGCTACAGAATGAGACTCCAACTCAAAAAAAAAAAAAGAAAGAAAGAAAGAACTTAGGCTCCCTTACCAAACCTCAGGTAAGTCAAGCTTCAGGAGATGAATGTGTTCAGCCTGTGGTACGTGGCTGCCTTTCCTGGGTGTGCATGTTGTGTGCAGTTTGAGAAATGTAGCCTTGGACCAAGATGGTGGGATTTGTACTGCTCAGAACACGTGGCTGCTTTTCTCAGGCAAAGATCTTCTGGCTGTTTTGATGCATCTTTGCTATAAGCCCAATTTCCTGGGGCCTCTGTTTCTTTTCTCCTAGGTGTTTATCTTCTCAGCATTCTTTGTGTCTCTAACTCCAAGTTCCTTACTCTCTTTCTCCTCAGGGTACACAGTGACCTGGCTGCCCTCCCCAGGACACACATCGCTACTGGCGGCAGGAGCCCCTCGATACCAGCACGTGGGTCGGGTGCTGCTGTTCCAAGAACCACAGCAAGGAGGACGCTGGAGCCAGGTCCAGGAAATAGACGGGACCCAGGTGCGCACAGCCCAAAGGGCATCTGTAGAGCGAGGGCTTGAGGGACATGCGTCATGTTCCTTGTTGTTCTTTGAACACTCATTCCCTTACCACGTGCCAGGCTCTGTGCCAAATACTATCACATTTGCTCCTCACAAAACTCTAAGGTAAGTTCTGTCATCTCCCTTCTCTGGTTTAAGAAACTGACACACAGAACCCACCTTGTCTTAATTCATATAAACTCTAAAGGCGGATCCAGGCTTTGAACCTGCATTAGAGCGAGTGGAATACGATGAACATGGTGCAGCTGAAGGGGAGGGAGGTACCTTTTGTTCCCATAGACTATTCCTCGAACAGCTGCCTCTCCCCACAGATTGGCTCTTATTTTGGTGGGGAGCTGTGTGGTGTTGACGTGGACCAAGATGGAGAGACAGAGCTGCTGCTGATTGGAGCCCCACTGTTCTATGGGGAGCAGAGAGGAGGCCGGGTGTTTGTCTACCAGAGAAAGCAGGTGGGGACCAGGACACTGAGCCGACGGAGAAGAAAAGGGGAGAAACATTCACAGGCCCACTCAGGTCCCAGCTATTCTGAAGGGCTTTCCCTGTTTGGTCATGTGTTCATTAAACCTTTAGACAAAATAATAGCTAATACGGACTAGGGAAAGGCTGTATGCAAGGCTCAGTGCGATTTTTTTGTTTGTTTTTTGAGTTGGGGGTCTCACTTTGTTGCCCAGGCTGGACCTGATGATCACGGCTCACGCAGCCTTGATCTCCTGGGTTCAAGTGATCCTTTTACCTCAGCACCCTGAGTAGCTGAGACTACAGGCGTGCTTCGCCACACCTGGCTATTTTTTTCTTTTTGGGGGTGGGTAGAGACAAGGTTTCGCTATGTTGCCCAGGCTGATCTTGAACTCCTGGGCTCAAACAATCTGCCCACCTCAACCTCCCAAAGTACTGGGATTATAGGCGTGAGCCACTGTGTCAAATTGTTATAGACATGACCTCACTTGATCTTCATGATTATCTACTGAGATCCTACAAACTTTCTTTTATAAATGTGAACACTGAGGCTCAGTAAGGCTGGGTAACTTCCAGAAGCCACAAGTTCACACAGATAGTAAGAGATGGAACTACTGCTTGAACCTGGGTTAGTCTGATGGCACCATTTTTTTTTCATTGGAGTCTCACTTTTGCCCAGGCTGGAGTGCAGTGGCATGCTCACAACCACCACAGCCTCAACCTGCTGGGCTCTGGCCATCCTTCTGCCTCATCCTTCCAAGTAGCTGGAACTACAGGCATGCACCACCACACCCGACTAATTTTTTTATTTATTGTAGAGATGAGATCTCACAAAGTTGCCCAGGTTGATCTCGAACCCCTGGACTCAGGCAATCCTCTCATGATAGCACCATTTTAATTCTGGGAGGCACCACATCTTATGTTTCTTTGGTGTTCTTCACTCACTTGTTCATCTTGCTGAGTGAAGTGTGGGCTGTCTCTTTGCTCCTTCCCAGCAGGGGTTTGAAGAAGTCTCAGAACTTCAGGGGGACCCTGGGTATCCCCTTGGGAGGTTTGGAGAAGCCATCACTGCCCTGACAGACATCAACGGGGACGGGCTGATGGATGTGGCTGTGGGAGCCCCTCTGGAGGACCAAGGGGCAGTGTACATCTTCAATGGGCGAAATGGTGGTCTCAGCCCCTGGCCAAGTCAGGTGAGGTTCCCTGCCTGCCAATTATACTCATTCCCAGGTGCTCTGAAGCCCCCAGCCTGGACCCTGTCCCCCAACCTGACATTCCTGCCCTCCATCCTGTCCTCTCCCCAGCTTAGCATGAATTTCTCTCTTGCTCTTAGCGGATAGAAGGGACCCAGGTGTTCTCAGGAATTCGGTGGTTCGGACGCTCCATCCATGGGGTGAAGGACCTCCAAGGGGACGGCCTGGCAGATGTGGCTGTGGGGGCTGAGGGTCAGGTGATCATGCTGAGGTAAGACGTCACTCCTGAGTCCCACCTAATGATCTCAGCTCTCATCCTGTGTGTAGTTACATATTCTTTTTTTTTTTTTTGAGTTGGAGTCTCACTCTGTCGCCCAGACTGGACCTGCTGGGCTCTGGCGACCCTTCCGCCTCAGCCTTCTGAGTAGCTGGAACTACCACGCCCGCCTAATTTTTTTTTTTATTTGTTGTAGAGATGAGGTCTCGCCAAGTTGCCCAGGCAGGTCTCAAACCCGCGGGCTCAGGCAACCCACTCACCTCAGCCTCCCAAGGCACGGGATTACAGGCTGAGCCACCGAGCCCGGTTTATAGTTACATATTCTAGACCCTGCACTACACGCTTTATAGACATGAGCTCATTTGGTCTTCACCCAGCCCTGTGAGATAGGTTCTGTCTCTCTTTTTTTAAGTCTGGGTCTCACTCTGTCACCCAGGCTAGAGTGCTGTGGCACCATCCCAGTTCACTGTAGCCTTGACCTCTTGGGTTCAGGAGATCCTTCTACCTCAGCATCCCGAGTAGCTGGGACTACAGGTGCAAGCCACCATGTCTGGCTAATTTTTTAAATTTTTTTTTGTAGAGATGGTGTTTTGCTATGTTGCCCAAGCTGGTCTCAAATTCCTGAACTCAAGCAATTCTCCCACCTCAACCTCCCAAAATGCTGGGATTACAGGTCTGAGACACGATGCCTGGCCTAGATTCTCTTTTTATAGAGGCTTCATATCTTATTCCAAGCTAAATAACTGCCCTTGGGTCAGAACTGGAATATGAACCCAGGCTTATCTGACACTAAAACCTTGCAGAAAAGCAACCTCATGTGATGGGTAAAGGCGTGACTTTAGAACATGGTGACTTGGATTCAGGTCAAAGCTCCGCCATTTACTTCTGGGGTGATTTTACTCCAGTCATTTTGCTTCTCGGGACCTGAGTTTCTTCATCTTTGAAGTGGTGGTGATGCTGAGTGTGGTGGCTCACCCCTGTAATCCCAGCCCTTTGGGAAGCCAAGGTGGGAGGATTGCTTAAGCCCAGGAGGTTGAGACTGTGGTGAGCCAGGATTGTGCCACTGCATTCCAGCCTGGGTGACAGAGTGAGACACTGTCTCAAAACAAAAAAAGAAAGTGGTGGTGACATTTTCTGTATTAACCATATCTTAGAATCTTTGAAAGACTCATGTAACATTAGATGGTGGATAACTATTTATTAATCACTTGCTATTTTAAACACTGACTCAGACATTGGCGTACAGTGTTTATGTGTAGGGAAACCTGTAGTAAAAAATTAAATGAAAACTAAGTAATTATAAAGTGTAATAAGTGTTATGAAGGAAATGAGCAGGGTACTATGAGAAAGAATATCAAGAGGAGCCGGGCTCGGTGGCTCAGCCTGTAATCCCGTGCCTTTGGGAGGCTGAGGTGAGTGGATTGCCTGAGCCCGCGGATTCGAGACCCGCCTGGAGACCCGCCTGGGCAACTTGGTGAGACCTCATCTCTACAATAAATCAAAAAATCAGCCGGGCGTGGCAGCGCATGCCTGTAGTTCCGGCTACTCAGAAGGCTGAGGTGGAAGGATCGCCGGAGCCCAGCAGGTCGAGGCTGCAGTGGCCGGGAGCGTGCCACTGCACTCCAATCTGGGTGACAGAGTGAGACTCCAACTCAAAAAAAAAAAAAGAATATCAAGGGGAGACTAAGTTGCCAAGAAAGGCCTCTGTGAGGAGGTGATATCTGAGCTGGGATTTGAAAGGTGTGAAGGAGTCTGGCCCGCAGACACTGAGGTAAGAACTTTCTGTATAGAAAGCCCAGGATACTCTGCTAAGAGGATGGGGGGGCGCGTGACAACAGAAAGGGTATGTGGCTCATTATCGGGGGAGTGAGGGCCAGTTAGAAGCCCAAACTTCACCTACATTCAGCCAACTTATGTAACTAATCCTCACTTATACCCCGCATTCCTGTAATAAAATAATTTTTTTTCTGAGTTGGAGTCTCACTCTGTCACCCAGGTTGGAGGGCAGTGACATGCTCCCGGCCACCGCAGCCTCAACCTGCTGGGCTCAGGTGATCCTTCTGCCTCAGCCTTCCAAGTAGCTGGAACTATAGGCACGCGCCACCATGCCTGGCTAATTTTTTTGATTTATTGTAGAGATGAGGGTCCATCAAGTTACCAAGCTGGTCTCGAACCCGTGGGCTCAGGAAGTCCTCTCACCTTGGCCTCCCAAAGTGCTGGGATTATAGGCATGAGCCACCATGCCCAGCTATAAAATAAAACTTTAAAAAAATAAATGGAAAGCCCAGGATGTGCAAAAGCCATATGGCAGCAAAGGTTTGGAATAGTCAAGGAACTAAAAGAGCCAATATGGCTGGCACCCAGTCAGTGCAGGGGGAGTACAATAGGAGATAAGACTGGTGAAACAGGCGGTATGGCACGTATAGTAAAAAGCTGGAAGTTTATTATGAGCATCATTGAAAGGTTATAAGCATGGAAGCAACTTAGTATGATTTCTCTTCTTAAAAGCCCACTCTTAGCCAGGTGCAATGGTTCATGCCTGTAATCCCAGCACTTTGGGAGGCCAAGGCAGGAGGATTGCTTGAGCCCAGGAGTTCAAGATCAGCTTGGGCAATGTAATGAAACCTAATCTCTAAAAAAACTAAAAACTTAGTCAGGCATGGTGGCACACCTGTAGTCCAGCTACTCAGAAGGCTGAGGCAGCAGGATCACTTGAGTCCAGGAGTTTGAGGCTTTGGTGAGCCATGATTGTGCCACTGCACTCCAGCCTAGGTGACGAGGTGAGACCTCTGACTCAAAAGAAAAAAAAAACCCCACTCTTTCATATGGAAAATGGGTAAGGCCAGGTATGGTGGCTCACACCAGTAATCCCAGCACTTTGGGAGGATGAGGTGAGAAGACTGCCTGAGCCCAGGAGTTTGAGACCTTGTCCACAAAAAATAAATAATAAGTAGCCAGGAGTAGTGGCACACACTTGTAGTCCCAGCTACTCAGAAGTCTGAGGTGGGAGGATCGCTTGAACCCAGGGGGTTGAGGCTTCGGTAAGCTGTGAACATGCCACTGCACTCTAGCCTGGGCAACAGAGTGAGACCCTCAACTCAAAAAAACGAAAAGAAAAATGAGTTTAAAAAGGATGCTAGAAATGAGCTGAGAGCTGTAATTAATTATCACCAATCTTATTATCATTGAACGGAGACAGTAACATCAAGGCCTGCTTTAGAGAATGAGAATCCTCTGGACTCAGCTAGTAGGAGACCCAGGTCTAATGGAGGATGTGTAGTTGAGGCCAAGGGAAAGGCTTGGTTGTCCTCTGTCCTGCAGCTCCCGGCCCGTGGTAGATGTGGTCACTCAGATGTCCTTCTCCCCTGCCGAGATCCCAGTGCATGAAGTGGAGTGCTCCTATTCAACCAGTAACAAGAAAAAGGAAGGCGTCAATATCACAGTCTGTTTTCAGATCAAGTCCCTCATCCCTGGGTTCCAAGGTCAGTGCTGTCTTCCTTCTCCCCAGAGGGGCTACTGCCCCAAACCCAGGCTTCTGGCCTCAGACTCCCCCACCATTAACTCCTGCTTTTTCACCCTGCCCAGGCCACCTGGTTGCCAATCTCACGTACACTCTGCAGCTGGACGGCCATCGTACCAGAAGCCGGGGGTTGTTTCTGAAAGAGGGGCACGAACTCAGCAGGAACACAGCTGTCGACTCCAAGAAGTCCTGCACTGAGTTCCAGTTTCACTTCCCGGTAAGGAAGCCAGTGCTGACATTCTGGGAAGGGGTAGATAAGCTAACTGCAAGGAGGGACAGGCTCAGCTCTGTCACCGTCCAGCTGGGTGACAAGTCACTTTGCTTTGCACTGTCATTTCCTCTACTGTGCACAAGGAGTAATAATACCTGTAGCACATTTTCTTCTAGTTTTTGGTTTTGTCTTTTATTTTTAGAGAGAGGGTCTCACTATGCTGTCCAGACTGGAGTGCAGTGGCTATTCATCAGTGCAATCATAGCACACTAGGTCCTTGAACTTCTGGGCTCAAGTGATCCTCTTGCCTCAGCCTCCTGAGTAGCTGGGATTACAGGTGCCACTGTGCCTGGTTGCTTCTAGTTTTTAATGTATTTACATAGCCTTTTTTTTTCTTTTTTTTGAGTTGGAATCTCACTCTGTTGCCCAGACTGGAGTGCAGTGGCCGCTCCCTGCCACCGCAGCCTCGACCTGCTGGGCTCTGGTAATCCTTCCACCTCAGCCTTCCAAGTAGCTGGAACTATAGGCACGCGCTACCACGCCCAGCTAATTTTTTAAATTTATTTATTGTAGAGATGAGGTCTCGCCAGGTTGCCCAGGCGGGTCTCGAACCCACGGACTCAGGCAATCCACTCACCTCAGCCTCCCAAAGGCGCAGGATTACAGGCTGAGCCACCAAGCCCGGCTCAGCCTTTTTTTTTTTAATTGGAGTCTCACTCTGTCGCCCAGGCTGAAGTGCAGTGGCATACTCGTGACTATGCTTGCATTGACCAGCTGGGCTCAGGTGATCCTTCCGCTTTGGCCTTCTAAGTAGCCAGAACTACAGATGCATGCTACCATGCCCCGTTAATTTTTTTTTTTTTGGAGTGACAAGGTCTCGCCAAGTTGCCCGGGCTGGTCTCGAACCCTCGGACTCAGACAATCCACTTGCCTCAGCCTCCCAAAGCTCTGGGATTACAGACTGAGTCACCCAGCCCTGCCTGTATAGCCATTTTTAGCATAATTCTCACTCCATGTAGTGACCATTTGTCCTCTATTCTTTTCACACATTGTATATTCATGCTGCTACCTAGCTTTCATGATTTTTTATGGTTTAAATTCAAAATTCTTTGAAACTTTGAAAGATCTAATTTCCTACTTCCTTCTAGTTCAAACATATTAACAGATGTCTTAGCCCATTTTGTGCTGCTACAACAGAATATCCAAGACTGGGTGTGTTGTGAGCAATAGAGAATTTTTACAGTTTTGGAGGTTTGAATGTCCAAAGTTGAGGAGCCTGTATCTGGCGAGGGCTTCTTGCTGTGTCATGCCATGGCAAAAGGCAAAAGAGCAAGAGAGAACTTGAAGGAAAAAAACCATAATTATTTTTAATGACCACAAGTTAGTTAGTTCTTATGCTATATAATTATTTGTCAGTTAGATACGGTCATTTATTATTAACACCCATCCCATAAAGAGGTGTTTTTTGGTTCTGTTTTTTGTTTGTGACAAGGACTTACTCTGTCACCCAGGCTGGAGTGCAAGTGTCACAATCACAGCTCATTGCAGCCTTGACCTCCTGGGTTTAGGCAATCCTTCCGCCTCAGCCTTCCAAGTAGTTGGAACCACATGCAAGAGCCACCATGCCTGGATAATTTTTTTTTATTTATTGTAGAGATGAGGTCTCGCCAAGTTGCCCAGGCTGGTCTGGAACCTGTGGGCTCAGGCAGTCCTCCCACCTCAGCCTCCCAAAGTGATGGGATTATAGGCATGAGTCACCATGCCCAGTCACCCAGCTAATTTTTGTATTTTTTGTGGAGATGAGGTCTTGCTATGTTGCCGAGGCTGGTCTCGAACTGAGCTCAAGTGATCCTCCCACCTCAGCCTCCCAAAGTGCTGGGATTATAGGCATGAGCCACCAGGCTTGGTCAAGTTTTTTTGTTTGTTTGTTTTATGTTAGTTTGAACAACTGCTGAAATACCCAGATCCAGTTTGCTTTTTAGCGATCCTGTGTAAAAATGGGATTGATATCAAATTATTATGCACTCAAATATTTTATAAAAACCTCAGTTTAGAATGGGAGTAAAATACTTTGAAGTCTGTTTTAAATTTTTTATTATGGGGAATGTCAGACATGAAAAACTAGAAAATAGTAGTTTTTGAACCCCAGGTACTCATTTCCCAATTTCAACAATTTGAGTTGAAACAACTCATTCAAACCTCCTCTTGGGGTCCCTCTGCCTCCTCACACCCCACCCCTTACCAGATTTGAAAATCTTTGGGGTTGGACAGATTTGGGTTTAAATCTTGGCTCTGTCACTTCTGGTTCTAGACCTTAGGATAATTGTGATATCACCTTGTTATGTCTCATTTTCCTAATTTTTTTTTCTTTTTTTTTTCTTTTTGAGTTGGAGTCTCACTCTGTCACCCAGACTGGAGTGCAGTGGCCGCTCCCAGCCACCGCAGCCTCCACCTGCTGGGCTCCAGCAATCCTTTCGCCTCAGCCTTCCAAGTAGCCGGAATTACAGGCATGCGCTACCACACCCGGCTGATTTTTTGATTTATTGTAGAGATGAGGTCTTGCTGCCCAGGCAGGTCACGAACCCGCGGGCTCAGGCAATCCACTCACCTCAGCCTCCCAAAGGCGAGGGATTACAGGCTGAGACACTGAGCCCGACATTTTCCTCATTTTCAATGTGGAGATAATAATGCCTGCCTCTTAGGGTTCATAGAAACTTTAGGTGAAAAACTATCTGAATGCCTACAATGTGCTAGTGTCAGGCATTGATAGTAACAAAAAACTAAGAGTAATTCCTATTCTCAAGGAACAGAATTCTAGAACTAGGATATTCTAGTTATTCTAGAATATTATTGTGCAGATTTTAATAATGGCTGCCTAGAACAAGCATTCAGGGGCTTCCATTAAGACTCAATGAGAGGCCGGACTTGGTAGCTCAGCCTGTAATCCCAGCACTTTGGGAGACTGAAGCAAGTGATTGCCTGAACCCGTGGGTTCGAGACCCACTTCAGCAACTTGGCAAGCCCTCGTCTCTACAATAAATTAAAAATCAGCCGGGAGTGGTAGCATGTGCCTGTAGTTCCGGCTACTTGGAAGGCTGAGGCAGAAGGATCACCGGAGCCCAGCAGGTCGAGGCTGTGGTGGCCGGGAGTGTGCCACGGCACTCCAGTCTGGGCGACGGTGTGAGACGCTAACTCAAAAAAGAAAAAAAGACTCAGTGGGGAAAGATGGTATGATTGATTAGTGATGTCTGTCATGGTTTTAGGACTGAAGAATGATACATGTACTGGGCATATTATAAACAACTGATGTGTAGTAAATGTATTTTCGTTACTGGTAAGGTCTTAAACAACTACTAAAATGTCATCATTTGTAAAGTCTGCATTTGATCAGAAGTGTGGTAAAGGTTAGACTCATGACACAGGTTGTGTTCTTCTTATCACCCTCAGGTATGCGTTCAAGACCTCATCTCCCCCATCAATGTCTCCCTGAATTTCTCCCTTTCGGAAGAAGAAGAGACACCAGAGGACCAAAGGGTGGTAAGAAGAGACTAGCTAGGGAAATTGATACAGACATAGCAGGGTGCAGAAATTCCATTTGGCAAGAAGAAACTATATAAAATAGGAGTCTTTGTAAGCAAAAGAAACCAAATATGGCTTACCTAAAGCAGGAAAGGAACATACGGGATTTTGTATTCAAGGGAAATTTGAAAAACCAAGTTTGGGAAGAAGGAGAACCAGGGTGGGGGCTTTCAAGAGGAGGCAGTAATGGGCAGACTCTCCAGCGTCCCTTCAGGGATTGTGTTCCCGGTCCCTCCTGTGCTCAGTGCTCCGGATCCCTCAGGCTTCTGACATTGCTGAAGATGCAGATTTCAGGAGGAGAAGACCTAGTTTGAGACCCAGGACTGTGTCTCTTTTTTTTTTTGTTTTGAGTTGGAGTCTCACTCTGTCGCCCAGACTGGAGTGCAGTGGCCGCTCCCGGCCACTGCAGCCTCGACCTGCTGGGTTCCGGCAATCCTTCTGCCTCAGCCTTCCAAGTAGATGGAATTACACCACGCCCGGCTGATTTTTTTTGATTTATTGTAGAGATGAGGTCTCGCTGCCCAGGCGGGTCTCGAACCTGCAGGCTCAGGCAATCCACTCACCTCAGCCTCCCAAAGGCGTGGAATCAGGACTGTGTCTCTTACCAGTGGAAGGACAGGGCAACTTGATTAGCCTTCTCACCATTTATATTCTGTTGGGGACAGGTAGTTCCCTCTGAGCCAAATTCAGGTGCTATTATTATATAAAAGAAGGAGGAAAACAATATCTACCATAATCTACCAGATCGCAAGCTTCCTGCCCACTGCCCAAAGCCTGATTTCCTTTTCTAAAATCTTCGACACTCGACACTCACCTGGTCATTTGGCTTGCCAGAAGGTAGCAGTGTTGCCTTGTAGTAGGAACCTGGGCCTGGAAGCCTGAAGATGTTTACAAACATGAGCAGGTTCTCTGGGACCCTCTGGGACTCTTTCCCCATTTATAAAGTGAGTCGCAGCATTGTGAGGCCTCTTCCAAACTGGCCAGGCACACTCTGTTGAAAATACTAGCCGGGCTCGGTGGCTCAGCCTGTAATCCCACGCCTTTGGCAGGCTGAGGTGAGTGAATTGCCTGAGCTCGCGGGTTCGAGACCCGCCTGGGCAACTTGGCGAGCCCTCATCTCTATAATAAATTAAAAAAAAAAATTAGCCGGGAGTGGTAGCGTGCACCTGTAATTCCGGCTACTCGGAAGGCTGAGGCAGAAGGATCGCCGGAGCCCAGCAGGTCGAGGCTGCGGTGGCCGGGAGTGGCCACTGCACTCCAGTCTGGGCGACAGAATGAGACTCCAACTCAAAAAAAAAAAAAAAAGAAAATGCTGAGTTGTTTCTCCCACCAGTTTGTGAGGGCAGGCAGTACATATGTTTTGTTCTCTGGAATATACCCAGTATCCATCATGGGGTCTGGTCTAAAGTACCAGCTTGGGCTGGGCACGGTGGCTCACGCCTATAATCCCAGCACATTGGGAGGCCAGGATGAGAGGATTGCCTGAGCCCAGGGGTTCGAGACCAGCCTGGGCAACTTGGCAAGACCTCACCTCTACAATAAATCAAAAAATTAGCAGGGCATGGTGGCGCCTGTCTGTGGTTCCAGCTACTTGGAAGGCTGAGGCTGAAGGATTGCCTGAGCCCGGCAGGTTGAGGCTACGGTGGCCGTGAGCATGCCACTGCCTTCTGGTCTGGGTGACAGAGTGAGACTCCAACTCAAAAATAAATAAATAAAATAAAGTAGCAGCTTGGGAAATGTTGAAAAACTTGATCTGATAAGAGATAGAGAGCTGTCTTGGAGGAAGATAGGGTCCACAGGAGATTAACAGTGACAGAGCTATTTACAGGCAGGTGAGCCTGGAGTTCCTGCCAGGGAAGGAACTGGTGGGGGATGGGAGCTGCATTGTCACAGCCCAGGGCTCCCGTCAGCGGGAGGGAATGGGGCTGTCAAGGAGCTGCCTCCAGGATAGAGCTGCCTGGTGGCCATGGACTGAGGCAGGAGGGCAGGGCAGTCCTGGAAAGGCATTGGCTCCTGGGAGGGACAGGCCATAGCCAGCTCAGTTGAGCCTCAAGCCCCTGCCTCACCAGCCCTCCTCCATGAGTTCTGCTACCTCTCCTCTCTTTACTCCTCTGTGCTCAGCAGGGTAAGAACATACAGCCCATCCTGAGACCCTCACCACACTCGGAGACCCTGGAGGTAAGACCAGAAGAAGGGCAGGCAGAAAGATCTAGAGCTAGGCCCCTCCTGGGTCTAGGGACCTGAGCCTTCTCGTCCTTTCTTCTTGACCTTTCAGATCCCTTTTGAGAAGAACTGTGGGGAGGACAAGAAGTGTGAGGCGGACCTGAGGCTGTCCTTCTCTCCTGCAAGGTCTGTGAGGCTCCCAGCTGGTCTCCTATCCATTCTGTGTTTTCCTGAGGCAGCTCCTATGTGTGCTGGAAAGAATACTGGACTTAGAGTCAAAAGAGCCCTGTCTCATTCATCAGATGTGACATCTGGGGACACCACTTCCCTCTCTTGAGTCTTAGTTTCCTTTTCTGAGAAGTGCGAGTCTTTTGTGGAACTCCAGTCATGATTAAATGAGATTACAAAACTTAAAACCTGAGTACAAGAGCTTTTTTTTTTTTTGTATTTTTTTTTGTTGTTTTTTTGGGGGGGGTTGTATTTAGTTTAGTTTTTGTTTTTTTTTTTGAGTTGGAGTCTCACTCTGTCGCCCAGACTGGAGTGCA